GATCAACAAGCAATGCTTGATCTCCAGAGTTTAGTGCATGATCTACAGCAGTTTTCAAGTCTTTTGTCTGCCACAGCTTGTGTGTGACTTGTAGCCCCCTTGTCCGTGCAGATATGACAGACATCATGGAAGAATGACCACGCATAATGCTGGATAAAACTTCTTGTTCTGACATTTCATTTCCTGCAATACCAGTAACACCATTGCTGCCAAACCCTAGTCCACTCAGCTTATTCTGTTGGAGAGAGATTGGCATTTTATTAATAAATAAAACTTAATAATATGAAAGTGTGTGTGTGTGTGTGTGTGTGTGTGTGTGTGTGTGTGTGTTGTGTGTGTGTGTGTGTGTGTGTGTGTGTGTGTGTGTGTGTGTGTGTGTGCATGAGTGTGTGTGTGTGTGCATGCGTGTGTGTTGTGCATGCGTGTGTGTGTGTGTGAGTGTGCGTGTGAGAGGTGCGTGTGTGAGTGTGCGTGTGTGAGAGTGTGCGTGTGTGAGAGTGTGCGTGTGTGAGAGTGTGCGTGTGTGAGAGTGTGCGTGTGTGAGAGTGTGAGTGTGCGTTTGTGTGAGTGTGCGTGTGAGAGTGTGCATGTGAGAGAGTGTGCGTTTGTGAGTGTGCGTGTGTGAGAGTGTGCGTGTGCATGCGTGAAAGCGTGTGTGCGCGTGCATGAAAGTGTGTGTGTGTGCGTGTGTGAGAGTGTGCGTTTGTGAGAGTGTGTGTGTGCATGCGTGAAAGCGTGTGTCGGCGCGCGTGAAAGTGTGTGTGTGTGTGCGTGCTTGCATGTGCGCTGCGTGTGTGTGCCCTTGGTGTGTGTGTGTAGACAGTGAGTATGTGATGAGTGAGTGAGTGAGTGAGTGAGTGGTGAGTGAGTGAGTGAGTGTATGTAAGTGAGTGTGAGTATGAGTGTGAGTGTGCATGTGCATGAGGTGTGCATCCATGTGTGCATCTGTGTGTGTGTGTTGCATGCATGGATGTGAGTGTTGCATGTTGCATACTTTTATTGTGTGTATACTGTGAATTCTGTACTGTGTATTGTATTGTAATGGCAACAAATTATCATTCATATGTAACAAATGGCAAATACATAAAACAATGCAAGATACAGATAAAAAGAAATTTTCTCCAGACTAATCGTCTTTCTTTGACAAGGAATTGCTCAATTTCAGCTGAAGTAATTTCAAATGTAACTATATATTGGAAAGACATTTTGGCATTAAAAGATAAAGAAAATAATACACTTATACATATATATATCTTAGTCCCCTTGTGCATTAAACATGCTTGAAGTTATAATACTTACTGGTAAAAAGTCCTCAAAGTTGATAGTTCCATTATCTGTAGAGTATGATGAGCTATATTCAATGTCATTCATTTTATCTTGACTATAGCCATAATCTGGAGGTTCCTTGGGTGTTCCCATATATGATATATCTGGACTGGTATTCTTGGGGGTGTTTAGGTATGACACATCAGGGCTCTGAGGCCCATGAACCCTTGACGTAGGCTTTACTAAGGCTGGCCGATCCATAGGCTTGGAATGAGAGGTAAGGTCAGGTTTCGATGAAGCTTGTGTTCGGTTAAGATTCGTAAGATCTGGTCGAGGAAGCTGTGGTAAGTGTGGTGCTGAATCATGGTATGCTGGTGATGAGACTGGAGGGCCTGGTGAAGAGGACTGTCTCACCAGGTAAGGTTCAGATGGGCTGTGCCTGATAGCATACCTGTCAAATTTGAAGGAGTTAAAATACTAGTAATGAATAACTAAACAAAATAAAACATGCCATTAATTACTCTTGAAACCAAGTTTATTGTCACACAGCTTCTATTACAATTCCAACAATTTGATATTCAACCTTACAGTACTAATAATTACAATGCAGCCAACCTATTTCCTTCTGCTTCATGTGAAGAACTGGAAGGCTCTCTTGAATCTCTTCTACTCTCAGATACTGCACGAGCTCTGTATGGTTGACTCAAGTTAGGGCTTGCATTTCCACTTAGTGAATAATCCCTGTAACAGTGTATAAGTCAAATAACAATGTAAACAACCCATAAAGATTATTATAAATCACCTAGCCACCTTCTGCCTTCGTCTGAGACCTATTTCACACTGCCAGTCCTGTCCTATATAATACAAATCACAGAACAAATATTTTTCCTTTTTTAGCATTTGTCAATACAAATATGTGTTATGTCTCTTATTAACTGCACAGTTGGGTATTAAATAAAAAAAATTGAAGCATAAAAAATAAAAATGATTAAATAAATAAATAAATTGATTAATAGTAATAATATACCAACACCAATAATAGCTACTAATATCACAACTGGCATAACAATAATCAATAATCTATAATCAATGATATTTTAATAATAATAATAACAATAATACCAATAATAATAATATCATTATTATCATTATCATCATCATCAATAACAACAACAATAATAAAATTATCACTAATAATTACAATACCAATTAATGACAATGAGGAGTAAAACTAATAAGAAAATCATAAGGAGGGGGTGGAAGCAGGAGGGCCTGAGAAAGAAATCCTGGGTTTACCATTCCTTCTGTTTTATATACAAAAAAGAAGTACTTGCACTTATGCAGTACCATTTAATATAAGTATATGAAAAGCTAACATTAAAACAATAACGGTTTATTTTGTTTTGAAAAACTATTGCAAAACTACAAATCAAAAGAGTTAACTTTACACTATATGCATGCATATACTCAAAATATTATAAAAGAGGTTAATGGTGAAATTCTACTATATAACATGGAAATGTTAACCTAATGTTCATATATGTACAGTGTAACTTATGCAAATTATAATCTATACATAATACACTTATTTTTTCCTTATTTCCAATTGGCAAAACTTTTCTCCCTAATCACTGACTGTGTGCATGTTATCCTACAGAATAATAAACAGACAGTAATTAAACAGATGCATTCCAATTTCTTGGTCCCATTAATAAATAACATATTTCAATAAAGGAGAAGATATTTTAACTTCCATACTTGATATACCTTTGATCCTGTAAATTGTTTTATATGATCCACTTCCCATACACACTATTCTGACATTTTTTAAATGAAAAATCTAATTTTCTACTTCATGAAAGTAAGCAAATTCTCTGTTCTCAATATCATCTTTGTAGATGCAAAACATTCATTCATCATATATTCTTTTTTTTTTATCAATACATTTTCCTTCCTACTCATAACAATGAGTGATGACAAATAGTCCCTTTACATTATTCATTCATTAATTTCATTTAGGAATGAAACATTCTTTGAAGCACTGAAGGAACTTTGAACAGATTATTATACAGCACAAGTACTCACAGTGGAGACATATGTGAGCCAAAAGATAATGAACATTTCATAAAGACTTTACCTTCTCTGAACATTCCTACCACTAACCACTAATATATTTCCATCTAATCCTTAGCTTCAGATGCATGCTACAATTGTAATTACTATATTGTGGGTTGGTACTAAAAACTACTTCTGGGTGCTACATCTGACATGCATCAATAGGGTAGAGTAATTTAAAGGTTATGCACCACTGGACTTGCAGCGCAGGCATAAGATCACAGGCTAACCAGTCCAAGGCTACCATGCCAATTATCAAGACAACAGAGGATGGGTAATGTGAACTCTTTCCAAAAGGTTACCTGTGGGGGGAGACGTAGCTAGACTGTTCCTGGGAGGATCCACGTCTCTCATAGAGACTTGGAAAACTGGTGGAGTGTGAGGGAGGAGTCTGTGGCTGGTTACCATTGTCATATCTAAAGGGGTATTGACAGTTTTGGAGACATTAATTTACGCTTTGCCTTTTGTCATAACAGTTCTATGATAAGAGGTTAGGTTAGTGAAATGTGTGTTTGTGTATCTTAACTATAACTGTCAAAATTTTGGGAATAATTTGGATAATTTTGTCAAGTATCTAAATAAAAGCGAATGAGCCATTTTTTCATTTTATAGTTGAGTTTACTATCCATCTCCTGTCTTTCTAAATTCATTATGGACATTCATATTCACATCTTTTATACACCAGGTGGCATTTCAAATTACTTTTATGTATAACCTCCACCACACTCACAAAGCCTCTTCTTGCAGGAATAGAAAAAGCTAATTCACTATTCTTTCTGATAAATATTCTAGCTAGATTGCTTTCTGACAGCTGCTTTCATACCACAGGTATCTTACGGCCTGTTATTTCAATGCTGCACATAATGCTACTAGATAACTAACATGTACAACTATACTGTACATAGCAAAGGAATTCTCCAGCAAAATAATCATCTTTCATCAGTCAGTCTTTCAAAAAAAGAAAAGAAAAGAAAAGAAAGAAAGAAAAAAAAAAAAAAAAAAAATCTTAATAATTATTCAAAAATAGTATTTCTGAACTGCTTTAAAGGGAATTAATATAAATAAACAAATCATTTGACAAAAATCCAACTCATTAAAATCAATATGCAAGGGCACCACATATTTACACAAAATACAGACCTAGGAGTTATAATTTCTCTTGGGGTTGGTATAGGCCTCGGCAGATGCGACACAGTGTGTGACGATCCTCTTCGTGTTGAGTCAGGAGTTGAAGGTTTTGTAGTTGGTATTGGCATAGCTCTCAAAGGCTCAGGACGAATGACATCCGGACTGGTCATAACTTGAGGTACCATTGGATCTGCAATGGAAATAAACCAATAACATGTTATATCCTCCAGAAGGTAAAAAAAAAAATGTCTTCTCCCATAACAATGCTAACCCCAAACACTCCACATATTCACAAGATTAAAGGATCTTATCTTGCAACATTCCTTTCCTTTGAACTTGTTTCTTACTATTTTTTCTTTCCTTTTTCTGGTAAGGGGAAGTGCCTCACTGCTCATGAGGTGTATCACTGACTTTTTAAAATGAGTGCAGATGCCTTTCCATTTTATATGTAATCAACAAGGTCTTACACATTCCTCAACCTTTCTCTATGCATGCAACATCCAGAACAAATTTTCATTCCATCACATCAACAATAAGAAATAAGGAATTCTATCATTAATAAAATATACATACAATAAATTCTTATTACCAAAAAACCTACTGTTTGTTTACTTTAGATAACTCTATTTTCAACTTATTCTAACAATCTCTATCCTTCTGTGCCCTACCTTTATTATTTGTTAAGATGAACACGGCAGAGAGACAATATTTTTTTAAGCAACTTAAGCTTAATCAGATTTATAGTTTATAAAGAGTTACCTCCTATATTAATCATGGTGTCTTTTAACTGCCTGACTTTTGTAACTTTGAATCAGTTTCATGACCATTCTTTCCAAGAAAACAAAAGGCATTTTTTTTTTATTCATAACTTTCATATGACATTCTTTGTACACAGACATAGGACGGACCACCAATATTAAACCATACCCAATAAATCCTCGAGAGAAGAAAAAATATCATGTATCACTTTTCACAAAAGCAAAATATGGTCTCAGTTTTTCTTGATGAATGGAGAGTATAAAAGACTATATACATTTACATATTCCTCTGATAATCACAGAAGATAATACATCCATATTATCTTCAGATAAAGCTAAAGGAGGTCTAGTTCAGCAAGCACATCAACTCCCAGTTAAAATGTTCTTATAATCTGTAGCTGGAATCAATCTTGTGCACATCTGCTTTCACAATCTAGGAGGTGATTGTGACTTTACTTTTTTTAATTCATCCATTCATGATAGGATTTTCCCACACCATAGTGAGCCACATATTTGGCTTTCACAGAGTCACAGCAACTTAACCTCTTCCTGACAGGCATGACTATAGATGTAATGTTAATCTTACCCTCATGATAGGAAACGTGAATTTGCATCACAACTCACTCTTGTGACTGAGTGGGCAAGCCAGCTGTACACAGAAAATGCCCTGCTGGAAAGGCTAGATGGATGCCAGTAATCACCGGAATGAGTGATACACCGAAAATTCAGGCCCTGTCAGTGTAAAGTTAAAAACCAGACACATTTACCCCACTCTATACACTTTTTAGCTGTAGCATAGCTTTTTTAGGGAATGAAGCTAAAAAGAGACTAAGCCTATAATTATTCACCCACATAACATAACAGGCTCAACCACACATGTATGTGTAATTGCCAGCCAGTGTCTGACCCAATTCATTGCAACATGATTAGATGTCATCCAGTAGATTGGGGTTAATACATCAAATGAAATCTATATTATGCATCAATTTCAACTGTAGGTCATAAGAACATCTCATCACAGATTTCATCCCAGTAAATGACTGAGTTTCATTTAAACTATATATCTGCACTGGTACATAATATATACAGGGTACTGAATATTACTTTCTTCACTGCCCCATATATAAGAAGACATTTTTGACTTCCGGGAAACTGCAGTTCCTCTAAAATGCTTTTCTTGAACAACAAAAAGGAAGGACAGATATATACATATATACATATGGTACAGCAGTAAAGCCATTCTCCACCAGCCTGGTTGTATCCTAATTGATCTGTATTTGTGAAAAGAACATGCATAAAATCATTATTAGAAATAATTATCATGCATATTAGTAAGAAAGGCATGCAAAGCTGTGACATCTGCACTAAGATCTTCAGATCTTTCATCACTCTGCTGGAGGCTGGAGCAGCACCTGGTCTCTCACAGCTCCAAGATAGCAGGGAGGAGGGACAAGTTTTTTTCTCACTGCATTTCAACTGATGAGTTTTTCTATAACTGGATCAGGTGGTCCCAACAGTAAGCACTTTACTATATCTGGCACTGTCTACAGTATTTCCAACTTCATTACTTTTATTTACAATAATTGGATCTTATTCATATACCTAGCACTGAAGAAAAAAGTACATCACATCATCTTGAATTTAAACAAATCAATTTGAGTAAGCCATCTTTCATGAAGCTGAATCTTTTTTATAATGGTAAAGGATATTTTAGACTCGTAATCACATGAACGCATTAAATATCTGAATACACAAATTACTGTTCTGCATAATGGTAATGCATTCATTCCTTGCATACTAAGTTCAATATACAATATTCCCTATATATCATCTTTGATAAGCATATGTTAGATAGCACATGCGTAAAGTATGCCTGACACCCTGAAAGTCCCACCAAAAATAAATTGCACCATTCCTGGTAAATTGGCAAAATATCTAAGCCTATTCCATATCATAATCTCAACAAATGAGTAAATGAAGTGTTAGTTTGTGAAATTACATAGTCTGTCCTAGGTACTAACATATCCAAGACCACTTTTAAATCTGCAATGCTTTCCTCTATTCAATATTATGGAAGTTTTATGCCATTTCTCAATCATTCTTTTCTAAATATCAACTCTTAGGATCTCCTTTCTCACATCTGAATCTAAATATGTAAAAGATGAAATTCAACTTTCTTTCTCTTTGTTTTCACTCCTAATTTTTGCATTTTACTTGAAATTTATATGAAAAGATAACTCTTCTACACTGATAAATTTGAGCATCTATTAATCTATAACTTCACTACCTACCTTTCATACACATGCAATGAAAGTTTAATATTAGTTGCCTGTATAAACAGAAAAATATTCTCATTTCTATATTTTCCAAAAGAAGAAATATAAATTCTCTGCAAAAGATAATTACACTGATCCAAAAAGCTGATTTTCAAGTGAGGGGGAACTACAAAATACCTTTGGAATTAAGCAGGGATAAAATAAATATCAGAAGGAGGGGAGATGGTCCAGTCATTTTAAATCTTATTTACTATACATGGTTTTGTTTAAATCTTATCTATTTCATATCCAAGATGCAATGCAATAGCAAAACTGCTAAAGATTTTTAAACACTGCATGAAGTACTGTATCCCTATCTAAAAAGAAAAAAAAAAAAAAAAAAAAAAATTCTAAACCATGTTCTTTGATGTTTAAGTTGCTTCTTTAGGTTCATACATGACCCTTGAAAAGCTACTGTTCTGAAACGATGATGACTGTGAACCATTTACCTACCATTATTATTGTTAATGGGAGGTTTGGGCTCAGGAAGAGGTGGTGTTCTCTGTACTGCAATAAAGGCACAACAAATACAATGGTTATAAAAATTTCAAAACTGGCAGCCATACTATTTACATGTATATAATTGTAAACATATAAGACTAGGAAAGAAAACAAAAACAGCCACATGTCAGACTTCAATATGAGGGGGAAAGAGAAATAAAAAGAACAAAAGAAAAAGTAAAAAAATACATAAATAAATAAATAAGTAAATAAATAAACAAATAGGCTAGATTAAGAAACCTGTCTATTAAAAAAGAAAAAAAAAAAAAAAAAAACACAGTATACTCTGAAATGTGGCACATGCTTTTCCAAGAATAAAATAGCATTCAGCATTCTGAAAGATACACTGCATACATAATGATTATGCAACATAATGAACAACATGTTATAAAAATACAGCAAAAAGAAAACAGGAAAACAAAAGGAAAAAAACAATTATGAAAACATTTTACTAGCGATTCAAAGCACTACAGCAAAGATAAAGAAGAAAATCCATAAATGGATTAATAATAACAATGTAACCAGAGAAATGCAAATGGTTACCTACTGACCATGTGCAAAATTTCTGTGTTGGTGTAGACTTTGGTAAGACATGAGGATGCAGGTTATTATAGTAACAACTCGACATAATAATAATAATCCGTAATCTTAAAATGCATATCCTGCCTTAGGACATGTATAATGTTTTGCCTCTACCTTCAATAAGACAATTTTTCTTTCTCAATAATTTGCTCTTCAATGATTTACTGAAATCTCGTACTCCTTTAAATTTGCAAAAATAATTTTTTCACAATTATCAATTTCTTTGAAATGACCAGAGGCATAGTTGAAATATAAACTGTTGACATTCTGATAATTATCTTATTCAACTGTACTTTACTTAATTTGATAAGAGTATCACTATTGAGGGAATTAATGTAGTGTAACTGGCAAACAAATCTTATAATCAATTGTGTAAAAGATTAATTAATCTTCATGTAAAAAAGCATTTGAAAGTACAAGGGATTCATCCATATTTTTTTTCTGCTAAAAAAAAATGCTTTGCAAAACTTGGACTCAAAACATGCTATAGAGAGGCAAAGAGTTAAAGATAAAAAAGCTGCTTGATAGATAATAGATAAGCTCTACCAAAACTGATGAAAGAGAAAAAGAGGCACGTTGAAAATAAAAAAATAAATATCAAGACTCTTCCTGCAATCCTATGTCTATACCTTGATTTCATTGGAGAAAAGGAAGATTAAAGAAAAAAAAGCACAGAGAGAAGGTGTAAGACTTAAGACAACACTCACACTCTCTCCTGGTCTGGAAGATTGAATTGTAATCATTTAGGTTTGTGATCTCTGGAGGTGGGTCCTCCTCCTGTGGCTCTTCACCACCTGTGTCTGAGGCTTCTTCAGTCTTCATGGATTCCGCTCTGTAATAGCAGGTTATTAATAATTAACAAATGTGTACAATTTTCATCATTTTAACATTTTAATAGTGTTCTGGAAGTCGAAATGCAACTATAACAACAACAGCAACATATAGCAAAAGGATTAAATTCACATCATACTTTATCTGAATTTTATAGAATATGTACTGCTTAGAAAAGCAAAAACCTGCTTTATACAAGAGAGAACAAAAGAATGTTTGGTCTCCTTTCTGGAAATTACATTTGGCATAAAATATAAATGTCAATTCCTATACTCACACAAACATTATCATGTGCCCACAATTTTCTTTAGACCCAAGCTAAACACTATAGGATTTCCTTTTCATTAAACAGGTATACAGTACCAGGTGTTGTGAAGCCCCACAACAGAATGAACTACTTATCACAGTACTTATAGTTATACCCTACTATCAAGTTGAGATGCAACTATAAAAACAACAGCAACATTTATTGAAATGTTTCTTACGTAGCCTTTCCAGAGTTTTTGTCCTTGATAAAACTCTTGCGTATAGCTGCACCATGTCTGAAAGTTGATGGGACATCTTGCTGGGGCCCACCGAAGGGCTGAACCCGCTTCAGGTCAACCACATACAGAGACACATGCACACCATGAAAACCTGCACCAATCTGAAAGAGTAAAAGTGAATCACTTGATTGTTCCTTTTTTTCAAGAAATTCATTCATGAGGAGTTGACCTTTCTTTTATTTCTAAAAAAATATCTCAACATACAAATCATGTTTTAAACCATGCTGAGAGAAAAAAAATGCTTAAATACTTACAAGCTGATTTTGGGCAATGGCAATATCTTGAATCTTGCCCCAACCCATAGCAACTGTGTCAAATGTACGGGCAGGCTCCCACCCATACACCTTGAGAATATCGGGAGATCCTGCATACAGGCAATCACCATCAGGATGAAAGGCAATTGTTCTGAAGAAAAAATAAATATTTACTTTTTCGACACTTCTGAAATATTTATCTTATTCCACCTGCCAGAGATAACCCGATAGATCTCTCAAACTTAGTTTTATGTCCCAGGAATAAGTACACTAAATCCCCAGATGATGTTTTGGACAAATCCAAGACCTTGTATTAACAAACTCAAGCTCTAATATTCCATCTTCTACAACTGACGTCTGTCTATTTATTACTGCTTTCAGAATATGCCAAGTGTTCTCAACTCTTAAAAGACTTGCCCCTTTATAATACGACGCAGACGGGGTGCATCAACTCAATAAACAATCACTTTTGGAATCTAGAGAATGTGAAACCTGAAACCATCCCAATAATTTTTCCTTGGCCAGTAGAAGTGAGGTAAAGCTTGCCTTGTGTATTCGCCATGAACATGTTTACTACTTGAACCTCACATATGCCAAAAATTACTCAAAGAATTCCTATTATTTATATAGTCTCTAAAAAAAAGTAACACTTTAAGAGCACATTCTGTCATAATAGTAAGAAAATCCTCATATTTTACCTGATGGGTCCTGTATCAGCATCTGTGGATGAGACTAGAGAGAATTTCTCTAGATCCCAAAAGTTTACAGTTCTGTCATGTGATGCAGAGGCTAATAGGAATTCATGAGGATGGAATTCTACATCACTAACAGGCCCAGTGTGTTGGGCAAATTCTGTCATCATTTTGCCAGCTCGAAGATCCCACAACTGAAAAAGCCAGAGGTAACATTTTCAATACATTTTCAGATATATGCAAAGATGCCCATCTGCATTAATTTGCTTTGTCTGAATCTACATTAGAAATATAATGCCTAGGATCATTAACTAAACATGTAATACCAACCTTCACATTGCAATCTTCTCCAGCAGATGCTATCCACTGGCCATCTGGGGAAAACTTCAGGCTATTGACTGTTAGGTTGTGCCCTTTATATGTGAAGATGCAACCTTTTCGTCTAATGTCCCACAGCTGCAGATAAAACAAACTTTGTTAAATCCCTGGAAACTAAATTATGTAATGCATGGAAGCCACATGTGTGACTGATGTAATTTAATATCAAGTACAATAATTCTCAAGAAAATAATTTACAACATATATAAATTTTGATAAATAAAAAAAGAAAATATATGACATCTACTGAAAACTAATGTTCTCTACTAGGAGGAAAGAATAAGAAGGTAACCATTCCAGCAGACGTTTTCCCACAACCAACTCTCTCACCTTAATGTTTGTGTCAAGGGAACCCGTGCCGATAAAGTCCCCATAAGGGTGGAAATCTATGCATCTGATGTTGGCTTTGTGTCCGGTCAGTGTCCGGACAATTTTGGTGGCCTCCAGGTCCCATATCTTCAGCGCACCACTCAGGGACCCGGCGCACACCAGTTCCTCGGATCCACCAAAACGCACACATTCAACTGGTGTTGTGTGGCCTGACAGACTCTGTGGATGAAGATTGCTATGGTCAGAATTTCTAGATGTTTATTATAGGGACAGGTGTAATAATGAAGATTATAATGATAATGGCATATCATACTAATATGGTAGTGGTAGTGGTAGATGGTTGTGGTAGTTGTGATGATGATAATGGTTGATGATGATTGATGATGAGGAGGATTGATGATGATGATGATGACTGATGATGGTGACAAAAGATAATGATAATGGAAATAATAATTAGGATACTAACAATGATGGAAATGATGAAAACAAAATAAAACAACAACAATAATAATGATAATAATAATAACAACAACAAAAATAAGTAGAATCACTCAGCGCATACCTCCGTCAAGAAAATAGGGCCACTGATGCTATAAAATATTCACAATTAAAGAATTACATTAAAATCACCTCTTTCACTGGTGACGCCCGTGTTTCCTTTTCTCGCAATGCTAATGAATTTTTTTTTTCTTTTTCTTTTTTAATAAAATCCTGGATTGATCACCACTAAAATTAATGTTAACCTTGGCGGAGGTAACAAATAAACTATTACAATAACAGTAACAATCATCATACATACAAAATTGAAACAATAATATTAGCAAAAAAATCACAATAACACCATAATTAACAATGACAAAAATAATGAGTAATTCCTTATGGCGGTGTAAAGAAAAAAGTTCACGTGCTAATTCTTACATACTGACTAGCAGAGCAGTCTGTGCATTTCAAGGTTTCACGCAAATCTTGGCTTCTTATTTGGTCTAATAATTTACAATATATAAACAAAAAACAAACAAACACAAACGCACACTCACTTTCTCCCACTCACACACACGCACACTCTCACTTACCCTTACACACACGCACGTACTCACTCGCTCGCACTTTCGTACAACTAAACCCTCCGGAAAACAAACGTATTTCAGTAACTTCTAGCGTAGATAAACTAAAATAAAATCCTTATGCCGAATCCTAGCCTATACCCACGTTTTGTCCTAGAAAGATAAAAATCAGCTAATTCACCGAATTTTTAAAAGACAAGCTAATATAGCCTAGGGCAATGGCGGCGTCGACGTGACTTCAACGTAATGACAGAAGGGAGTCGGAGAAAGTTAGCCATGCGTTGAGAGGTCGGCACCCCGTCTCACCAGGACTTTGCCACCACATTAAATATCCTCTATCCTCTACTTCATGGGTACACGTGTCTCTTTCACGAACTTTCGGCTCTCACGAATCTCTCAAATTGGGTAGATCGTAAGTTTTGTGTTTTGCTGTTATGGAAACACCCGCGGTTAAGATGAAGTAAGGTAAATTCGCAAGCAAGCTTCCATGTGTCACAGCCGCAAGCAAGCGCCTGTGACACATGGAGGGGATATTTCCAACCCAAGTTTCACCTCAATCGGCTCTTACGACCAAGCATGCTCGCACAGCAACGCCACAGCCGGCGGAAGGAGCGGTAGCTTTCTAGACCAGAATAACCTGCACATGTAAAAGGTTTCCCTCAGCTTGTAGTCATTACCTGCTCAAGACACGTTGTTTGCGACCCGGACTAGTTTCTACTGCAACCCCAGGAGTTACTGGTTCGGCGGTACTCTCGACCTTAAAAACATTTATGGCAACTTTTGCAATAGTCTTGCAAATTTAAGCTTATGTGCAGTCTCGTGAAGTCAAATTCAGATGTCTGTCATTGTCATTGCATTGGTATCTCTAATTTCCATAAATCTTACAACAATGATTAATGTAAAATAACTTTTATCAAATTTACAAATAGTAAATAATTCGAAATGAAATCAATATCACCGCTATCACATGTGAAACTTGTATTTCTAATTCAACAAATATTAATGAAAACTAATTTAATAAAAAGCTGAAACAACTTCGTAATTATCGTTTTGTCAAACGTATTCTCCAAATAGAGCAAAAAGTTTTACGAGGGAGGGAAGGAGCGTGAGAGAGAGAGAGAGAGAGAGGAGAGAGAGAGAGAGAGAGAGAGAGAGAGAGAGAGAGAGAGAGAGAGAGAGAGAGAGAGAGAGAGAGAGAGAGAGAGAGAGAGAGAGAGAGAGAGAGAGAGAGAGAGAGAGAAAAGGGGTGATAAGGACTGAAATGGAGATGGGGACAGAGGGATGGGGGGGTGAAAGAAGGAGTAGGAGAGCAGAAAACAAGAACACGCAATCCAGCGAGAAAGTGTCGGTTCGTGGGAACACGGAGCGGGCGGCGGGAAGGAGGTACTCGCGCTGCTCTTCTGCTTTGACGGCTTCCCTCCTTTTCATTTTATAAGGGGGTAAAATTTACTCCCACTGAAATAACCTGTTGATATGGGTGCCACAGGCATTATTCCTTTACCCCCGACTTGCCCTACGAACAGAGCAATTTACCTTCTAAACGAAAGTGTATCTAACGGGTATCTAACTTTATCACTTTGGCTTCACACTGTGAGTATTGAGCATGTTGTATGCTTCGCATCCATTTTGATTCTACAATAAATAATGCCTCTCATTCTAACTTGCTTCAACGTCAACAATTATGGCCGAAACCTTACGGAATATACACTCTTTAAAACAGACGTATATCCCCACAGAATAAACACAAATCGCGCATCGCCACGAGGGATCACGGTTCAGCCATCCATTCAAACCGCATCGGGAATGGAAAATATCTCATACACGTGGGAACATCTCCGCCCGAACTCGAGCCTCGCCGTGATGCAGCCTCTAAATGGCAAGGTTTAGATAGGGCGCCGCGTAAGCCATTATGCAAACAAAGACAAGTAACCGTGTGCGGTGGATGGATGAGGAAAGGCGACGGAAAGATGGCACCGACCCCTCGAGATACCACGCAGTATAAAGCCAGCCATAAATTCTATGCGATGACAGGTAAGCGGTGGACATACATAAAGGCTAATGGCTAGATAGAGCAACAACTGAAGAGGCAGACAACGCATTAGTCGACAGTGCTCAAGGGCAGATAGACAAGGACTGCCGCCGGAATGGTCGGGCGCGGACCGTAGCGTCGGCGGCGCGAGTGAGCTGCCGGTTCAAGGCTGTGACGCCATAAGTGGACGCGGCCGCACCGCAAACACCATCGAGGGTGACATTCTTCGACTGGTGGGAGTGGATTCTCTCTTGATACAGGCCCCGCGGTGCCTTTTGTTCACAACTACGTTTCTGCCTTTTGGTCAACCAACATTAGCGATGCCCCAAGGTTTTCTGGTGTCCAAGTTCATTTCAGTAACCGTTGCATTCATTTTCATCTAACGTTCTTTTAACATTTCCACTTCACATTTTCCAAGCGCACACGCACGTAGGCGCAAGCACATTTTTATTGAAAAAACAAAACAAAAAAACTATCAACTTTCAAGAACATAAACTGTGATGGTATGTTTATGTATGGATTTCTGATGGTCGCAATATGGCAGGTCAGCAGGACAACGAATACACTTGCAATATAATCATAGGGCAAAGATAAAAATAGCATAACAATCCAACACTTCAGCATGATATCTGTAATAAATAGGTATTCTGAGCCTTCAGTGACATGTCTACATAACACAAAATGCGTTTCCAATCAATTCTGAAGTTCAGCTTTTACTTCTTCCTTTCTGTTCCCACAAAATAATAAGAGGAAGTCGCACAGCCGAATAAAAATGTAACGCGACAGTGACAGACGCGTTTTGACGCAAAGACAATGTTGCACAATACCTTTGTACAGTTGCATTGCTTTCGAAATACTACGATTTCGGCGTGACATCGGTATATTTCACATCATGGAAATGGCACCTGTTCCATAGTCGCATAAATCAAAACAAATATATCGTTATTTTTGAACATCAAATACTTATATGATTAGTACATACAGAGCCAGCGTACATTCAGGCATACCAATGCAATCGCACGGAGACTCGGCGAAACCCCGCCATTTGTCGCCGCTTCTTCACATCCGCGAAACCCTGTCGACGAAACGTTCATACGTGACGCCCTTCGCCGTAGCGCCGTGACCATCCAGGCGAGCTTCCAAATATGGCAACCAGGTGGGCGCCCTATCCACTCCTTAAAGAGAGGTGGGCGGAGCTCTGGTGCCACCACTGCTCACTGCGCCCGAAGAGTCCACCTGATCGTGTGCCGAGTCTGCGTCGCGCCATTCGCTCCACTTCCATGCTTATCTTCTTATCTCTTTGCTCAGGAGTGGACTTCGCCAACGACAATATCCACGACAAATATATAATGCACGTAAGACCCATCCGAGTGACGAGCAATAACGGGAAATCCATTTACATTAAAAAAATAATAAGAAAAAACGTCTGTACAGAATACCCCCTAGCACCCCGCTATCTCGCACGAGCTGTTCGGGAGGGTCTCTCTCTTGAAGCCAGCCCGAGGACCCAGGCACATCCACCAACTCCGGGCGGCCAGCCCTACCGTATCCTACGAACGAATCTTGGCCGCGCCATCCTTACTCCAGGAAGTGCCCGCGCTCCCCGAGACCACCGCCGCCCGCGCCTTCCACCTCTGAGCCACCTCTGGCCCTCGCAAGCCGCGCCGGAGACAAGCCCGCCCTAATGAGCTACTATTACCGCACGGCATGCTCTATGACAAGCAAGTTACGTACCGAATAACGTACGGCAACAAATATACCCGACACCTTAATCGTATATGAGTAACGCCGATATTCAGGCGGTCGTATCACCTACAAAAGCAATTACACAGGTGGGACTGATCCATATCTTGCGGGTAATAACTACCTGGTAAGTTCCTTTCATTGGCATCAAACAACAGCGTAGCAAATATTCAAAGTTCAATCATAACCAAAAATATCAATTTCTTTTAACTCTTTTTAAAAAGATTCGGTCACCAGGTTTAACTGCACGGTTATCCACGAAGGCGAAATAATAACAAGTAAGGCATTCACCTGTACACGAAACCCCAGGATTATAAGGCAACACAGGTAGACCAAGCCTCGGGGGATGTGTCATTTTCGTACTGCGATCATGAACGGCAACTTGGCTGCCAGCTGACCAGGACGGGTCTAGGGGCCGGAGGAAGGGAGGAAGGGAGGAAGGGAGGAAGGGAGGAAGGGAGGGAGGAAGGAAGGAGGAAGGGGGAGGGAGGAAGGGGGGGGAGGGAGGGAGGGAGGGGGGGGAGGAGGAGGAGGAGGAGAGGGGAGGAGAGGAGGAGGAGGAGGAGGAGGAGGAGGAGAAGAAGAAGAAGAAGAAGAAGAAGAAGAAGAAGAAGAAGAAGAGAAGAAGAAGAAGAAAGGAGAGGGGAGGGAGGAGGAGGAGGAGGAATAAGAGAACGACGACGACGACGACGACGGAGGAGGAAGATACACTCGGGCATTCAGAGACGCAATCACGACCATAGGTAGGTTTACTGCCAGGGTTATGGGACCCTTATGAGCTAATTAAAATCAACATGCATCTGCTACAGTATCTTTTAGCCCCGAGATGTTTGGACGCATCCCTATCCACATCCCATCGAACCACTGCTGAGCCACTCGCCACGCACCACCACGCCCAAATGCCACGCACTGGGAAGCAAGAGAAACAACCTCGACCACAGATACATAAACAGACCAAATCCTGTAACCAGCTCTTTCCCTTCCCCCGTTGTGCCCCTTGGAAATCTAAGAGACCATGACGCTGTAGAATCCCGCGGCTATTATGTACGCTGTGGCTTTGTGCCGCAAGAGTGGAAAAAAAAAACAGGAAAGAGAAATGGCAGTGACCGTTGCTAGCTGTGGCGGCCGGCGGTGGTGCTGGCACAACTTAAAATTCTGAAGACGTAGGGGCACCTGCCGGCAAAACTTCGCGCCACTACGCAGATGCAAGTCCTTATTTGAAGGGCCCTTGCCGCCGCCAGCGCCCTCCTCCGCCTCGCAGCGCCGATTCCAACTCCCGTCGCCCAGATAACTGTGGCCCTGCGGACCTCAACGCGACAGTGAATAACAATCATCAGGCTCTTGTAGTTGTTTTTTGTTTAACGCAAACTGACATAAACCAAAGAAGAAACGAATCAGCCATAGCGACAAGAGAAGATTACGCCTGTGTTTCGTTTCATTCTTGTAATTGCGTCACTGTTTGTGTTCACGAAGACCAAAATCTTAGCTTGGCTCGACAGCGTTTTAAATCTACCTGCAACACCTTCCATAAAGCGGCCAAACCTTGATGCGGAGACCAAACGGCGAGAGACGAACCGCAGACGGACTCGCATTCACCTCTGGCGTCCGTTTCTTCCTTGCCGCCGCGGTCGTTTTCGGTTCCCTCTCAGCCTTGTTGATCCTTCGACCTCATCTTCCCTTCCTTGCAGTGCATCTTAGACCTCTTCCTTATTCTTGCTGAGAGAAAATTCATTCCAATATTTTCTTCTATAATCCCGCTAGACCCTGCCCAACAGGCTATATGCGTTTACAATAAGCATAAACACCCGAACCGAACGCAGCACAGCCTAGAATCCTATCAGCAGTTTAACACTCGAAGGCCGAGTAATCAGGGACGCAGCAGGAGGCCACGAGGGAAAATCTTCCCATTAAATCTCTAGTCTAATTCCATTATCCGACTGTTAATTGGGTTCCAGTAGCCGGTGATGCCCCCGTGACGTGTTTTTGCCCGCTCGAGTAGCAGCAGGTAACAGTACCTACGAGCAGTAGTGCCTCCCCACTCCCCTCCTCCTCCCACCCTGTGCCAATGACCTAAGAGAGAGATTACCTACGGACGTACTATATAGACTTGGTCCGCACTACACCATCGTTCGAAGTCCCTGTCCCCGCCCCCGCCCCCTTTTCCATCCTACATCCCGCCGGACGAGAGCTGTCAGTCATGACATTTGGGACAAGGGCTCGCATCTCGAGGCGTCGGACTAAATATGGAAGCGATTCATAGTCTTCATATCTTGTCATAATGGCTTAGGGTGGCTGACGGGAAACATTTAGTAGACAAGCCATCCAATAAGTCCCAACACGACACCTCTTCTGCTTTCGTTGTCCAGCCCTCCGGGTCCGCACGACAGCTGCCCCGCACTCTTCAGATCGTTATCAGACGACCATTCACCTTAATTGGGATCAAGGCCTAGAAACAGGTTAGTAACATTCCCTTAAACGGTTAAAAGGCAACGTTAGTATAGCTTCAACCCCAGAACGAGCGATCCTACTTAAAATTAAAAGTAACAGCACATAAAAAATGCAGCTTAATTAGCGCACTGACACCGTTTCATAAAAAAGAATCGCATAGATACGTTTCATTAAGCACAGAATAGGCGATCGAAGGTAGGAGAACAAGAAGAGCAAGGAAGGGCGGACCCAGCTCACCGGCCGAGCCAGACCTCCCGCTTATCTCGACTTCCCTTGTACGTAAATCGATCTATCTCTCCCATTCCTGACCTAATAGACTTACAATTAGGCGAGAAATGATGCATCATTTCCATGGTACATTGCGCGTGACCGCCTCAGAGATTTCATCCTAATACGTAAATGCTTTATTCATAGATAAGCCTGCAGTTCGTTCTCGCTCCAGCTCGCCCTGTCTCAAAGACGCCCAATTTTCGTCAACAAACAAAGCCGTCTCGCCCTGATCTTCGCAGGGATAAGGCCGCCGTTGCCGCCTCCTTCCGCGGGCGGCTGGAGGAACAAGATCATTACCTGAACGAATCTGCGGGCGTCATCAGAGAGCCCGACGTTGGTTTGCGACAAGTCCGCCGCCCACCTTCCCCACCAACACCCTCATTAGCACGCCCAGCTCCGCCCTCCTCCGCATTCGCCCGCCTAAGGGAAATGGTTCCCGCTTCGCCCACGTGCTAACGATGTGACTAAACAGTGTACAATTCACGCAGTTTATGTAAAATCACACACACACTTTTGTGTGTGTTTATAATCATTTTTTGTGTTATATATATATATATATATATATATATATAATATATATATATATATATATATATATGTGTATGTATATGTATATATGTATATATATATATATATATATATATATATATATATATATATATATATATATGTACATGTATATATATATATATATATATAATATATATATATATGTATGTATGTATGTATGTATGTATGTATGTATGTATGTATGTATGTATGTATGTAATGTATGTATGTATGTATGTATGTATGTATGTATGTATGTTATGTATGTATAATGTATGTATATGTATGTATATGTATGTATATGTATATGTATGTATATGTATATGTATGTATATGTATATGTATAGTATATTATATGTATATGTATATGTATATGTATGTATATGTATTGAGTAATGTATATGTATATGTATGTATGTATGTGTATGTGTATGTGTATGTGTATGTGTATGTGTATGTGTATGTGTATGTGTAATGTTATGTATATGTATATGTATATGTATATGTATATGTATATGTATATGTATATGTATATGTATATGTATATGTATATGTATATGTATATGTATATGTATATGTATATGTATGTATATGTATGTATATGTATGTATATATATATATATATATATATATATATATATATATATATATATATACATGTACACATACTCAGAAGACAGTAAGTAGAGGCGGGCGCACCCCCCCCCTCCGCCCTAAGCCCTGGCTCCATACCCGGACCACACACAATGGTTGGCGTTTACGGCTGCCTCTGCCACACACCTCGCCTAATACCCTCCCCTGGCCAGCACAACACCAGGTCTGCTCAAACACAGGTCATAAGCGGATACTGAATCCTCGCCGAATCCCTCTCGCAACACAATACACTGGATGCAACGTATCTGTGCATGACCACAGTAACTTGAACTGAAGCCTGGAGCTCTCGCCGCCTTTCAAGAGGTGCTAATTAAGTGGTAAGTGGTCAGTCGGCCAAAAAAAGGCAAAGGCAATACTCTTGTTTCCAGGCGCCTCCTCTGATGCAGCGGCTCAAGGCTGCTTATTCCACCCCATCGTCTACTTACATGCAGCGATTAATACGTCTTATTTCACCTAAGATAGATCACGTTGCTAAATTGTTTGGTCAGCTATGTGAGGTTCGACCTTTGATCAATACTGAAGAACAAGCCTTGAAGTTGAAAGCTTTTGAACGTACACAACAGGGAACACTAGCTTAAAATAAAGTAAATGCAGTCTGGCCTATTACTCATGGCGCCGACACGGAATAGCGTTATCCTCCTTCAAAGGCGCAGCGTCATGAGCGAGCGGGGCAGGCGACACCAACATCTTGTTGACATGTGTCGCAGCTTGCATAAAGATGTGTGGTCAGGACACGGCTTGGGGCGTCCTAAATGGTTGACGAAATGGCACCGAGCCCGGGTGCCATGGAGATCAGCCATGGCGCGGGGAAGCGAGTGTGGGAAATGGTGTTGCCTAGAAATAATCGAGCGACACGGACGCCGCAGAAGGTTACTAGTTANTATGTACTTATTGTATTACTGTAATGCATGTATGTATGTATACCATATCCATATAATATACTTTACGTATATATATATATTTTATATATATGTATACATATATATGTATATATATATACATACATACACACACACTACACACACAACACACACACACACACACACACACACACACACAACAACACACATATATATATATATATATATATATAATATATAATATATTATATTATATATATATATGTAATATATATATATATGTATGTATGTATGTATATACTGTATTTGTATGTATATACATATATATTACTATATATATATATATGTTGTGTGTGGTGTGTGTGTGTGTGTGTGTGTGTGTGTGTGTGTGTGTGTGTGTGTGTGTGTGAGTGTGTGTGTGTGTATGTGTATGTATACATATGTATATATGCAGTAAATACCTGTTTATTAGTCTTAGGAAAGACCTGGCAGAGAATTTGTAAGTGGATTTTTCCTCCAATCTCTTCCCGAAAGTACAAGGTTAATCTGGTTAAATCTGGTTCATAGTTGTGAAAAACTCCATCTGGCTTTTCACATCTTTACGTAATTTCATAATATATTTGCTTGTTAAAATATGATCTTGTCCATGAATATATCGCTTGTAACGTTAGTATGCAAATTGCACTGATCTTTGTCAAAATGAAAATAGATTCATCATATAAACTCTTCTAATTAATCTATGTTCATATTATAATGATTGATTTTAGTGAATATAAGTGATTCTAATTAAAATGTAATATAAACCGTGCATTTTATGATGACTCTTATCAAAAGTTAATATATTCACTAGCTTGAATCCAATTTTTTTCAAGTTATCTAAATATTCACAAAACTAAAAACGTTTGGATAATTCCCATGGCGCCATTTCCTTTATCTTGGGTAATACTGCTAAAGTTTAGTGTTACTCAAACGTTTCCGCCGCACACGTTTTCCTAAAGAGTAAGAAATAAAACAAAATGTCTAACGATAGGATTTTGCCAGAGGTTATATGAATAAATTTTCTCTCATTTCCCTCGTTGATTATTAGATCTATTGTTATTATACGGCTGTATTATCTTTATACTAGATATATCAGTGTATTTTATATTATCGCATATGAATGTTGGCGTAGATGTGTTTTGAAGAAAGAAAAATGGACGTATTCGAAAGAGTATAAGAGGGTTACGGTCCTAAATACAATTAGCCGATTGACAACTCTTGTGCTCCTACTTGTCATGTATGTCTTAACAGAAGATGCTAACAAAATTTTCAAATATACTATGGCGAATGTTACCCCCAAAACATAAATCGTAATCTAACTCACCAAAAATTAGAATAAACAAGGACTCGATAGTCCCCAAACAATTAACCACAACGCGTACATTATCCGAACCTTCGCTACACACTTCCATAACAAACATTCACACCGAAATTCCCGATACACATTCACCAATACACCCCCAATACACCCCAAAAAACACAAATGCCCCCCAAATAAAAAAAAATATTTACCCTCGTATTCGGCAAGGAAATTCCCGGAGGAGTGTTGCGCGTCGGTTTTTCTAGCGGCGTTGTTGTTCGTCTTTTCCTTTTCCAAAATGTGTCAAGTAAGGACCCCAGACTCGTCTAAATAAGGGCCAGAGGGCATCGAAGGGTCATGCCACACCCCCTAAGACCCGAGAGAAGGACCTACGTGTCGTGAGGCGATGAAGGACAATGAAAATAAAACCTCGGAGGGGGCTTTTGTGATCTGCGTTTCCAATGGCCGAATTCTAACGTCATTGTAGGATGCTTGTTCCGAGATAATCACGGTTTTTTGGGCCGGAAATTAACCACTTGCGGGGTTATTTCCCCTCGAAAGACCCGGCCTATGGGATAATAGAGTGTTTATTGAAGTACCGAGGCTCCTGTGACCAAACTTGAGGGTTGTTTTGGTATATAAATCATCACAAACTTCCCCAAATCCTAAATGGACGTTACTCATTAATATTTGTAAATGGACATCGATAAAGCACGACGAAGGACCCACAAATACGTCGTTATTCAAGTTCTATCATAACTATAATGATGATTTCAAAGCGTCTGTGATCCCTTTATTAACTAAGAACGAGTTTTCGGTTTATATATTATATAGTGATGTTCAAACTTATTACTATTCTGATGTCATTGATGTGCCAACCACACCCAGTGACAAGGCCTATAAATGCCTGGCTTCATATCAGGGAGGAAATAAGTTGTATTGCGGCTGTCTTTACTTTAAATACTGATTTATTATCGAGTTTAGAGGTTCCTTGGTGTGTTTTGGTGTTAGATATTATTATTTAGAATGACAGACTGTACTTCATTGATTACTTGATAGTTCGGGTGATGTTAGACACAAGACAGGATGTTGAGATGTAGTCTGCTTGTTTTTCTCTCTGCTGTTGAATTTTTTTTTAAATCTTCATCATGATATGCAGACTGAAATTTGTTGAAGGAAAACTACAGGAATTATCATGAAAGAACATGGGATGAAGAGGGCCAACTTAGCTATTTTGAATATTCATGTTTGTGTGTGCTATGATGAAACTAGATATTAGGATGCAATTATGTTTTAAGAGAAAAAGGACTGTTTGTGCCCTATGGTCCATGCATTAATATTATTTTGTTTGGAAGATGCTTGAGTTAAGATAAAAATTTGCAGGGTTTATCATTTAGATGCATTTAAGAAAACTTACTTTTTGCTGTCAAATTATTATTATTTTTTATTGTTGATGTTTGCTGTTTTTGTTAACAGCAAATGATTAGAAGGCATCAGCATTTCTCCCATTTCCTGTCAGCAGTTTGCTTGGCTTCTGTATGTGTCAGCACTCGGGCGAATGCAAACAAACCTCCACTCTAGATATTCTGGCAAAAGAAGACCTATAGATAACCCTGGTGATTTATTTTCAAATAAGGAACCCATGAAAGCTCTTCCTTGCCAGAATATAAGTAGTGGAGCTTATTGGCCGCTACTGGAGTGCATAGGTAGCTGCAGCAGCTTCTTGACACTGCAACACTATTAAAATGGACTTAAGATTGTGGGTTTTCTGTCATAAATCACTGCTATTTTGAACTTGATTTTAACAGGATACAGTCAATAGATTTATGAGAAATAAGTTTGTTGTTAAAAGAAATGGCAGTTACTTATTGTATTGATGCACTTGCCAGAGACTAATGGTCATATGCTTAAAGAAATTGTGCAACGCAAGTCAATTCTTAACACATTTTTCTTATGCTAAAATCTTCACGATTGTAGGAAGTCTTAGTGTAACTTTTGGACTGTCAGTTTCAAAAATACAATGTTCTTATCCTGTTGCGTTATTTTGGTATACTAGTTGATTTTTTGCGGTATTATTCGTTAGTAGAGAATTTTGGGCTTCAAAGAGGGGATTCCAAAATATCTTTAAGTTTCCAACTCCACATCACAGAATCTATTATACAATCTAAGTTCCTGCTACTTGTCATGTCCGAGGGGAGGGTTGATGGAGCCTCTTCCCCTCAATACCCACCAGGAAAAATTGTCTTCACCTCATTATGCACAGGAAAATAGAGTTAAAACTCATGACCACAGAGTGGATTTAGGCTTTGAGCGATCCTTTCTGCCATTTTTACCTTTATTTGTGGCATTACCGTTCATGTCTGCAGATTTTTGTTTCTTTTATACATACAATTGCAACTCTGTCTTATACAAGAATATACTCATCAGTTTGCCCTAGCCTGGTGTATCCATACCATAAAGACTTACCTAAGAATCTGCAGTTGCCTTTGAAATTTACCGTGTATATACACAATACGTGTATACACACTACATATATGATTTACTATATATAGTTCTCTGTGTTTATTAATTAGACAAAATCAGCATGGTGGTAGGATACAAGAAATTAATCACCCAATTTTATTTGTTCAGGCCTAGAAAAGAAGATGGATAGTGGGTTGTTATCTCTGAAGTGGAACAACCATGGATCTACGTTTTTCCATGTATTGTCAACAATAAGGAGAAAGGTAGGTTTATTTCCTTTAGAGTTTGGTTTAATCCAGCCTCGCATGGAGTTGAAACATGATATATTGAGGGAGTCTGTGAGAATATCAGTTTTTGCTCTGGATTGCATGTTCAATGATACTAATTTACTAAAACAACATTTAGAAACTAAGGAAAGCAGCAAGAAGGTAAACATTCATTTTATTTTGATCAATAGTGAGACATATCTTAAAGAAATAAAAAAGCCTAGTCTAAAATAATTTCTGTCCTTCCTGTGCAGGAGTCCTACTGTGATGTGACGCTGGCCTGCGATGGCAAATTCTACCCTGTGCATAAACTGGTTCTATCCACATGTAGTGAATATTTTGAGGAAATCTTTACTAGAACTCAGTGCAAACATCCTGTGATAGTGCTAAAAGATATAAAACATGAAGAGCTTGAAGCTCTACTTAATTATATGTACCTAGGGGAAGTGAATGTTTTACAAGCAGATTTAGCTGGACTAATAAAAGCTGCTGAGTGTTTAAGAATTAAGGGACTGGCTGTGCCAGATGAAGCCCCAACATCTAAAAGTGCAACTAAAGACAGTAAAAGGAGTGCGAGCTCCAGAGACAGTAGTCCACCACACAACAAAAGAGTGCGACACGATGAAGATAGTCGAAGGACGTCCATTTCTGGTCAGAACCTGGAAGATCCCAGGAGCCTTAGAGAATCCATTTCTAGAGAGTCAAGAGATATAGCACGTCCAAATACAGCGAGGCTTGCGTCTCCATCTTCTGTTGAAGGGTTTGCCAATTCTGCTTTCACCCAGTCTGGTCATAATCAAGAAAACAATAGAGACAGCAGAGGTCCCACGCCCGACACTGAAAGACAGAAGGAGTCAAGACAAAAAGAAGTGCCACAAACTTCATCCCCTAGTCATGTAGAGGTATATTTTTATTTCATTTAGAGTATATAAACTGAAATTTTGGGTATAGAAAATATGTATGATATTCATGGCATTCAATTGAAATTTTTTTTTCTTTTGCAGGTGCTTGTACAGGATGAACCAGTAGTCAAAACAGAAGTGTTAGAGGAACCTAAGGCAGAAGAGGAAAATGAAGAGGATGTCATGAACTCTGATAACAGTATGGCATATGACCAACTGACGTCAGGCATGCAAGGTAGAAAGTGACTTCCTTCTCCCTGTAAATATTTTACATATGAATGCATGTTATTGTGCCTGTATGCTGTTTATTCGATTGTAGAATATCTTGAATATGAATTTTAACTTTTGCAGGTGATGGGGTATCAGAAAGTCAACAGAGTTTTGATCCTCAAGTCTTGACATCACAACCACAAACTATGGAAGAGCTGGTTGCACAAGCCATGCCAGGGACTTCTGGTATACAGGGGGTAAGTGCAGATTGAACTGGATTTTAGTGATAGTTTTCTGTATGCCCATAAAGAAAAAGATATGTCAGAGGTTAAACCATAAACCGCAAATTACATTTTATATATTATTATATTGGCTGAAATGCCTTTTTATGATCACAATAAGGGAAATACAGGTGGTGAAAATACAAAAAAAGGCAACAAAGGAGAAATACCAGAGTGAAACATGTAGAGTTTAAATCAGTCAGTACATCTGTTAACGCAATTTGAAAACAGTCCCTTATAAGGCATACAGCTATGTGATGCTTTGCCATTGAGGAGATTTAATTTTGTTTATTATTTATTAGTTTATTAGGTAGTGAGCCTTACTTGCATATTCTTTAAGTTAGCAAGTTAAGGGATAATTAGACCTTTACGTACGATGGTTAGGAATAGGAACACTTAGAAAGCAGTCCACGAGAAGATGGTGAATGCACAATGGACATTATATGGTTGAACTGGGAATTCTCTTTTGAAGCTTTTGCTGTTTGTGGAAAAACTCGCAGATGATATCACTCTGATGCGGTGCTAAACTTGACATTCCACCTTGCAAATACATATATTAGTCAATCTAGTATTCAGAAGCTATTTTCCAAAAAGTAAATTTATTTAAGACCTTATTCACTTAATAATTGAACATTTATCATTATCATCATCATCAATGTGTTTATTTACTTTCGTTCATTTATTGATCAATTATTTATTTTATCGTGTTTTATCATTATCATTATCATTGTATTGATTCACTTTTGTTTATTTATTGATCAATTTTTCTATTCACATATTTTATTTTATCCCCCCCTCCCCCCATCTCTAGGACTCCATGGTTGGGTGGGGTGCAGGTCAGGCTGGAGGAGGCGGGGGTGACCTGTCTAGGTTCTCCCTCGAGGCATTCCAGCTCGAAGATTCCCAGAGTGGCTCGCAGGGGTCAACGCAGCAACAGATGGTGAGTGTTAACGTTATTGTATAGTAATACCTCTTGAGATTACGGGAAGGTTAATGCGAAATCATAGTTTCAATTTTTATGTGTAGGATTTTTTTCCTTCTTCTACTTCTTCTTCTTCTTCTTCTCCTCCCTCCTCCTCCTCCTCCCCTCCTCCTCCTCCTCCTCCTCCTCCTCCTCCTCCTCTCAATTCATCTCCAGTTTCATGTGTTGTTTTTAGTTAAAGAAGTGAGAATATAGTGTGTGTGTGTGTGTGTGTGTGTGTGTGTGTGTGTGTGTGTGTGTGTGTGTGTGTGTGTGTATGTGTGTGTGTGTGTGTGTGGGTGCAATAGTGTGTGCCCATGCATGTTTGTGTGTATGTATACTCATATGAAATACACATACACATACATACATACATACATACATACATACATACATACATATATATATACAATACATATATACACATATATATACACATACATACATACATACACATACATAACATACATAATACATATACATACATACATATACACATACATACATACATACACACACAATACATACACATACATACATATATACACACACACATACACACAGACATACACATACACATACACACACATACACACACACACACATGTACATAAACACACGTGCGCACACACGGGCGTACACACACTCATGTACACACGCGCACACGTATGCACACACAATGTACACACACACACACACACACATGTACACACATGTAGACATGCAACATGTACACACGCACACACACACATGTACACGCACACATGTACATACACATGTACACACATATACATATAACACATACACATGTACACACATACCATTACACATACACACACACACACACACACACACACACACACACACACACACACACACACACACACACACACACACACACACACACACACACACACGCACGCACACAACAAACACAAACACAAAAACACACTCACACAACACAAAATCAATACATCTAAAATCAGTACATATTTATTTGTGTGCCTATTCTCCTCTTTGTCTTTTTGCAAATGTAAAATGTACTCGAGACCTACTTATGAAATTTGTAGATATATATTTCGTATTTCTGATTGGCTAAGAAACCTTCCCGGAATCTCACTAGGGAAGATATGCAACAGGGATATTTCTTAAAGACTTTATTTTCGGAAGAGAAAACATTAACAAACATCTTATACAATGCGCTGTTAGTAGTGGGCGTGTTATCCGTGGGCTCTGCTGTCATAGATGTAAAGATACGAAGTTAATGGATGTTGCTTGTTTTATCCATTCAGGTCCATGCTTTGCGTTCGTGTTTTAGGTTTCCATTAGTACCGTTTTGGAATTATAAATTTGTAGGAGAGCTACAATAAGGTGTGAGACTTTTTTTATTTTTTTTTTTTTTTTTTTTTTTCTGTTCTTTCTCTTTTAACTTTGCATCATGGAGAAGGAAGTCCTCGTAGTGAAAACTTTCCTATTATGAAGAAATATTGTGGAGAATGTCTCTGCGTCTGCATGTTTGGCTGTTTAGACAATAAATAGATAGTAATCGAAGGCAAAGCTGGAGTCCGAGAGAATGCCATGATGTGGTAGAATTGCATGTCTAAGCCGTCATAGAAGTTAAGGAGTATCCGACTTCAGTACTGAAGAGGTTTTAGAGATTCATAATTAGTGGCTTATGACTTTCAAGTTCACAGAAAGAAATTAGATATGTATGTAGAATAACGGATTAGCAGAATTACATTATCATTTGGAAGGCTTAAAATAGCCTATGAAAGGATATATTTATTTTGTTTTAGTACTTGTGGTTCGAGACTATATAAGAAAAGATGTTTGAGTTTCATACTTATAAGTATATTTAAAAAATCATGAGATAATTAGCAAATTAGCTTAAAAAAAAGTTAATACTCATATTTTGTGAAGTAAGAGAATTAGATATCTTTGTATTGATAGAACTAAAAGAATGAGCCGAGCCTAAATATGGTGTGGCAAGAATGCATGCCATGTGCAGTCAACCTGCTCCAAGTTGTGTAGCAAAAACAGTTGTTCACTTTTTTTGATCTGGGCACATCTATTCGCAAACTATAGACCGTCATAAGTGAGGTTAAAGCTTTGTTTTAGTCTTGGTAAATGGGAAATTGTAAATGCTGTAGCCAAATGCGTGCAAGGCAGGGTGAATATGTGTACCCCATGCTTCTATTTCTTCTCTCAAGCTACTTGTTAAGTGTGATCTCTGGCACATAGTTCAATTTAGTGAGAGAGAGAGAAAAAAGAATAATCAGAATTTTGGTTAATGATTGTGAGCTTTTCTTTTGCTGATAAATTAACGTATTTAGTTAACTGTTGATTTGAAATGATTGATGTACTCCATAACTGTTTAATATAATGTAGGGAAAGTGACAAACAGGGTGACTATATCAGAAAAGTAGTAACTATGTTGAGAACTCATAACTTAAGATTGATTTAGGGAAGGCAAGGGTTTTGCATAAAGAGATTACATGAATATATGCTGTTTAAGAATATGAAAATGGATGAGTCAGTGGAAATGCAAAGCCTACTATATTTGCACATAACTCTTATATGATTTTTATCTGGAAAGGAAGTCACGAGTATTCTAACCTGATGTTACGTAAGCTACCTTAGACTGAATGTTGATCAGCTCATAACAGGCTCTAGAGGTTTGAGAAGTAGTTTGTTTGAAATTTCCAGTATTTCTTGGGTCATTTTGAGAATTTAAAATGTGGCCTTTTTTCTTTCATTCTTTCTTTCATTTTCTTTTCTTTCTTTTTTCTCCATATGCAGTATTCACTGCAAAATGTCAGAAAATTTCTTGCGGATATGGCTAAGCGTTCATTGGAAATTGTCAGGATAGTTTAGGTGGCAGCGCACAAGCGGTCTGGTTAATGGCTTTGACTTTTTTACGCCTTTCCATCCTAAACATTCAGATGTTTTTAGAAGTCTGAATAAACATGCATGCAAATGAGTAACAGTTTAGTGTTCTTGGTTTTAGTTGCCAGTAAAACATGCATTGCCTGTTGAGTAAATAATGATTTTGAATGTTACTGTTTATTTCTCTTGCATTGCTTTATTTCTGAGGAGCAATAAAAGAAAAATATTTGCCTACATATTGCAGTTACAGTGATTTTATAAATAAGAATAATTTTTTCTTTATTTATTGATTTATTATCTTCATCTTGGAGGTGAAACGTTTACATAGGAGTGCTTTTACACTTGATGGCGTTTATCTGGTGTGAGATGTTTGTGCGATAGATGTTTGGTGGTTCTTACTGCAGTATTGTAGTGCCAGTCAGAAATCCCTGTAGCATATCTTGTGTAATTTAGTGTACTTTATGTCGTCTTGTGAATTTAGAGTTTTGAACCATTACTATGTCACATGATAATATTTATGAAAATCATTATGTATACTAGTGGGGACTTGACGAAAAGCAACCAGTATATTAAACAGGATATAAAAGGAAACAACATGGGAAGATGTTTGAACTCTTGCCAGTCATCAATGGAACCATGTTGTTTTTATTCATTTATTTATTTTTATTATTTGTGTTTTTTTTTTTTTTTTTTTTTTTTTTTTTTTTTTTTTTTTTTTTTTTTTTTTTTTTTTTTTTTTGGTGTATGTTGATGTTTTTTCTCATTCTGACGCAGTTTGTACTATCATCGAGTCTTAAATTTGTGTAAGATAGTCACACTGGAAACCAGTGATTGCCACTAGTATCCAGTGTGACATTTTTATGCACATAACATTACCAATATTTATACCAATATATAGGAAAGCTGTAGCTATGGAGTGTACTGGACAACCACATTTAGTAGATTATTTTTTGCACTCATGAGGCATTGTTTATGTTTGTATCAGTATTTATTGTTTATTGCATTGATTGCCTCTTTTCTTTGAAGATGATTTATTCGCCCTGAATATGTATATCATATAGCCTAGTTCCCATTGGAGGCATATAGATTTTTTTTGTGTGTGAGGGTGTGCATGTGCACACTCTTATGTATGTGTGTGTAACAGTGTGTGCTCTTGTGCATGTATGTAAATATTCAACAGGATAAAGGAAAAGGAAATCTCATTGGAAATGTACACATACAGTTTGTCTCTAAAGACAACCATGGGAGCATTGATCTAAACCTGATGTTGATTTAAATGAACATGTGAGGCAAGGTTAAGGGCAATATGACATTGTTAGCAGGTTTTTGCTGCCTTTTACATAGTTTGCTCTTTCATAGAGACTGTAGACCTCAGACTTTCTGTAAGAAAATGCTGTTAGAAAAAAAAAATTAGATTACTTAAAGAAAAGAGAGGTGTTGGAGGGAGCAGCATGAAGCACCGCTGCATTGTTTTCTATTGAGTATCCAGTTTATGAATTCCATGATAGTTAAATATTGGTTTGTCACACCATACATATTCATTATAGTATGAGCCACAAATGTTTATATTGTTCTGATTCTTGCTGTTGTACGAAGCACGCACCAAGCAAGGAGGTTAGGAAGGTGTAATGGTATCATAGGGCTTGTTTACCATTCCGTTCAATGCATTCCTCGTGGATGTACACCATAGTTTTGGGGATCCTGGCAACACAGGTTGATGTCTATGTGTGTTTAGTCTGCGTGTTGAATATTCTGTTTTGAGTGATGTCCATGTTTTGGGTTGTATCTGTACTATATTTAAAGCTTATATGAATTTTTATCTGCATAACATTTATTGTAAAAAATTATAATTGTACGTTCCTTTGCTCTGTTTTTTAAAGTTTACAAAAGGAAGGGTGAACTTTAGATATATTTATTTGGGTTATTGTTACCATTGTTCCTTTATTTCTCACTTGACTTTAATGACATTTCTGTATTAATGATGAAAGAATAACAGCTTTATCATAGCAAAATGATAAAGAGACTAGAAACTAGCAATAATCTTCATATTTGTAAAAGAATGATAAGTGGTAAACGATAGAAAAGCAAAATAG